TATGGATATGTATACCAGCTTGTGTATGTATTTACATATTTATTCGGTAGTAAGGGCGGATAAATGACCCACCAACACTATCACCATCACCACCACCATCACCACCATCACCACCACCACCATCACCACCACCACCACCACCACCACCACCACCACCACCACGACCACCACCACCACCACGACCACCACCACGACCACCACCACGACCACCACCACCACCACGACCACCACCACCACCACCACCACCACCACCACCACCACCACCACCACCACCACCAACCCACAACCAACAGAGCACTAAGCGCCGTGCACCACCCCGGCCTCTACTGCCCAACAGTATATATTCCCCCAGCTGCTCTGCTGCCCCCCCCCCCCCTCCCTAATGACAGCTGCAGCTGCTGCGTCTCTTACCGGGCCTACTGCTGCTGACCTCTCAGCTGCCATCAGCAGCATGATACTGTTACAGAATGTTCTATTAATTACCCACTGCTGACCCAAAATTGCAGGTTGCAGGGCTGTTGCACATGCACGTGAATCAAACCCTTTGAATCAAACATGCATGTGCACGTGAATCAAACCCTTTGAATCAAACATGCACATGCACGTGAATCAAACCCTTTGAATCAAACATGCACATGCACGTGAATCAAACCCTTTGAATCAAACATGCACATGCACGTGAATCAAACCCTTTGAATCAAACATGCACATGCACGTGAATCAAACCCTTTGAATCAAACATGCACATGCACGTGAATCAAACCCTTTGAATCAAACATGCACATGCACGTGAATCAAACCCTTTGAATCAAACATGCACATGCACGTGAATCAAACCCTTTGAATCAAACATGCACATGCACGTGAATCAAACCCTTTGAATCAAACATGCACATGCACGTGAATCGACCCCTTTGTGCTCACAGTGCACGAGCACACAGGCTGCCTCCCTCGGTGTTGGACACAAGTGCTGATAGATCTCTAGTGAGAACCCGTGCTTCAGAGAGCAGGGTTATGCTACGTGGGGTGTTGTAGGGGTGTTGTAGGGGTGTTGTAGGGGTGTTGTAGGGGTGTTGTAGGGTGTTGTAGTGTGTTGTAGGGGTGTTGTAGGGGTGTTGTAGGGTGTTGTGGGGTGTTGTAGGGGTGTTGTAGGGGTGTTGTAGGGGTGTTGTAGGGTGTTGTGGGGTGTTGTAGGGTGTTGTAGGTACCGGTCTCTTGACCTCTCAGGTCATCCGATGACCCCGGATCAAGATGACGTAGCCGTGACGTCATCTAACTACGTGACCTTCAACGACCTGTGTAACAAGTGTAGCACACACACACACACACACACACACACACACACACACACACACACACACACACACACACACACACACACACACACAAACACGAACACAAACACACACTGCTCTAACATCTCTTTGTCTCTGATTGGCTAATCGAGAAAGTTTTTAAAGCTGGCTAGAGCTTGACCCCCACGCTGCTCATGTCATTGAAAGCTTGAGGATGTCCTCAGAGACGTCTGATATGTATGACTATGTATGACAATGTATGGCTATGTATGGCTACTGGCTATACATAGCAAGTCCGCATTAATTGCCTAAGTCCTTAGGCACGTTAAGGAAACACTAATTCCGGCATCCCACAGTGTGATTATTTTCGTCTAATCCGTTGAGGAAGAGTAGACAGCAGGGGCCAGATTCACGAAGCAGTTACGCAAGCACTTACGAACGTGTACATCTTTCCTCAATCTTTGACGGCTTTGGTTACATTTATTAAACAGTTTACAAGCATGAAAACTTCCCAATCAACTGTTGTTATTGTTATAAACAGCCTCCTGGTGCTTCGGAGCTATTAACTGTTTAATAATTGGAAACAAAACCCCCAAGATTGAGAAAAGATGTACAGGTTCGTAAGTGTTTGCGTAACTGCTTTCGTGAATCTAGCCCCTGGACGGTACGCGCCGACGCAGCGGTCTGAGTAGAGTGTTTTCTCATCGTGAATTATCTAAGTCATCAATAGAGTGAAATACAAATAAAAAACGAGTGAAGAGCCTGCACTGAACTGTAGTGCAGACGGCTGGACATTCATAGTGAAGGGGGATTTAATATTATAATTCACTTTACTTTATCACTGTTGTCCTCCACCTGGTCATTCTCTCGCAGAATGTGACCGGATCTGACTGTCAGTTCCTCGTCATTCTCTCACAGAATGTGACCGGATCTGACTGTCAGTTCCTCGTCATTCTCTCACAGAATGTGACCGGATCTGACTGACTAACAGTTCCAAGACATTTTTCACTGTGTAGTAACATTTTTTCGTTCAGAAAATGTCGTGAAACGAAGTTTTGCAAGTTTCTACAAGGAGGATATTTAAGCCAATGGGACAAGTTTGTCATTTTTTGCAGAGCGCGAAATTAATCTTGTCGAATGGGTGTAGGTGGAGAGGGGAAGAGGGAGGAGGAGAGGGGGAGAGGGGGCAGAAGAGTGGCGTGGAGGTGGGAGACGAGGGAAGGAGAGGAAGAGAAAGAGAGGGGTAGGAATATGGTAAGGAGCAAGAATAAAAGGAGAGGAGGAAGGATTCTCGACTTTGAACTAAACTTCCTAGAAAGACACACTCACATGCTCTCTCTTTCTCTAATTATAATATATATATATATATATATATATATATATATATATATATATATATATATATATATATATATATATATATATATATATATATATATATATATATATATATATATATATATATATATATATATATATATATATATATATATATATATATATATATATATATATATATATATATATATATATATATATATATATATATATATATATATATATATATATATATATATATATATATATATATATATATATAACAATTTCAAAAGAGGAACTTCGCCAATCTGAGGGAAAGTTCTCTAATTCTAAGCTAACAAACTCGACACCAATTTTAGAAGTTAGTGCAAGAGGACCCGAACTCCCCAAAGTTTACAAGGGGTAAAAAGAAACTTGGACTGCAAAGACGGTAGCCAAATATTTTGTGGCCGTCAGACATTGAAGGGTTGAATGTCTGCGATGGAAATTGATGTCGTAATCGGCGGTTTAATGAGGCTTGTAATGAGTACGAACGGGAGTTGAGGGGACGGTAATTATCGGCAGTGAGACGAGTCTAGGGAGGAGAGAGAGAGAGGGAGAGAGAAAGTGGAGGGGGAGGGAGGGGGGATGAGAGAGTGGGGGGGTGGGGGGAAGAGGGAAAAAAATGGAGGGCTAGATATGTGAAGTCTTGTCAAGTGCGCATCACAGAAACGATCAAAAAGTCTACAAGCCCCCGAGGTCATCCTTGATGCCCCCGAGGTCATCCTTGAAGCCCCCGAGGTCATCCTTGAAGCCCCCGAGGTCATCCTTGAAGCCCCCAGGTCATCTTTGAAGCCCCCGAGGTCATCTTTGAAGCCCCCGAGGTCATCCTTGAAGCCCAGGAGGTCATCCTTGAAGCCCAGGAGGTCATCCTTGAAGCCCCCGAGGTCATCCTTGAAGCCCCGAGGTCATCCTTGAAGCCCAGGAGGTCATCCTTGAAGCCCAGGAGGTCATCCTTGAAGCCCCCAGGTCATCCTTGAAGCCCCCAGGTCATCTTTGAAGCCCCCGAGGCCATCCTTGAAGCCCCCGAGGTCATCCTTGAAGCCCAGGAGGTCATCCTTGAAGCCCCCCAGGTCATCTTTGAAGCCCCCGAGGTCATCCTTGAAGCCCCCGAGGTCATCCTTGAAGCCCCCGAGGTCATCCTTGAAGCCCAGGAGGTCATCCTTGAAGCCCCCCAGGTCATCTTTGAAGCCCCCGAGGTCATCCTTGAAGCCCCCGAGGTCATCCTTGAAGCCCCCGAGGTCATCCTTGAAGCCCAGGTCATCTTTGAAGCCCCCGAGGTCATCCTTGAAGCCCCGAGGTCATCCTTCAAGTACAGAGGTCATTCTTGAAGCCCCCGAGGTCATCCTTGAAGCCCCCGAGGTCATTCTTGAAGCCCCCGAGGTCATCCTTGAAGCCCCCGAGGTCATCCTTAAAGCCCCCGAGGTCATCCTTGAAGCCCCCGAGGTCATCCTTGAAGCCCCCGAGGTCATTCTTGAAGCCCCCAAGGTCATTCTTGAAGCCCCCGAGGTCATTCTTGAAGCCCCCCGAGGTCATTCTTGAAGCCCTCGAGGTCATCCTTGAAGCCCTGGAGGTCATCCTTGAAGCCCAGGAGGTCATTCTTGAAGCCCCCCCGAGGTCATTCTTGAAGCCCCCGAGGTCATTCTTGAAGCCCCCCGAGGTCATTCTTGAAGCCCTCGAGGTCATTCTTGAAGCCCCCGAGGTCATCCTTGAAGCCCCGAGGTCATTATTGAAGCCCCGAGGTCATCCTTGAAGCCCCCGAGGTCATCCTTAAAGCCCCCGAGGTCATCCTTGAAGCCCCCAAGGTCATTCTTGAAGCCCCCGAGGTCATTCTTGAAGCCCCCCGAGGTCATCCTTGAAGCCCTCGAGGTCATCCTTGAAGCCCCCGAGGTCATCCTTGAAGCCCAGGAGGTCATCCTTGAAGCCCAGGTCATCCTTGAAGCCCCCCAGGTCATCTTTGAAGCCCCCGAGGTCATCCTTGAAGCCCCCGAGGTCATCCTTGAAGCCCAGGTCATCCTTGAAGCCCAGGAGGTCATCTTTGAAGCCCCCGAGGTCATCCTTGAAGCCCCGAGGTCATCCTTCAAGTCCAGAGGTCATTCTTGAAGCCCCCGAGGTCATCCTTGAAGCCCCCGAGGTCATTCTTGAAGCCCCCGAGGTCATCCTTGAAGCCCCTGAGGTCATCCTTGAAGCCCCCGAGGTCATCCTTGAAGCCCCCGAGGTCATCCTTGAAGCCCCCGAGGTCATCCTTGAAGCCCCCGAGGTCATTCTTGAAGCCCCCGAGGTCATTCTTGAAGCCCCCCGAGGTCATTCTTGAAGCCCTCGAGGTCATTCTTGAAGCCCCCGAGGTCATCCTTGAAGCCCCGAGGTCATTATTGAAGCCCCGACGTCATCCTTGAAGCCCCCGAGGTCATCCTTAAAGCCCCCGAGGTCATCCTTGAAGCCCCCGAGGTCATCCTTGAAGCCCCCGAGATCATCCTTGAAGCCCCCGAGATCATCCTTGAAGCCCCCGAGGTCATCCTTGAAGCCCCCGAGGTCATCCTTGAAGCCCCCGAGGTCATCCTTGCAGCCCAGAGGTCATCCTTGAAGCCCCCGAGGTCATCCTTGAAGCCCGCGAGGTCATCCTTGAAGTCCGCGAGGTCATCCTTGAAGCCCCCGAGGTCATCCTTGAAGCCCCCGAGGTCATCCTTGAAGCCCCCGAGGTCATCCTTGAAGCCCCGAGGCCATCCTTGAAGCCCCCGAGGTCATCCTTGAAGCCCCGAGGCCATCCTTGAAGCCCCGAGGCCATCCTTGAAGCCCCCGAGGTCATCCTTGAAGCCCCGAGGCCATCCTTGAAGCCCCGAGGCCATCCTTGAAGCCCCGAGGCCATCCTTGAAGCCCCGAGGTCATCCTTGAAGCCATGAGCAATTTATGACATCCGTTGTGGCACCTGTTGATGACGCCCGTTGTGGCACCTGTTGATGACGCCCGTTGTGGCACCTGTTGATGACGCCCGTTGTGGCACCTGTTGATGACGCCCGTTGTGGCACCTGTTGATGACGCCCGTTGTGGCACCTGTTGATGACGCCCGTTGTGGCACCTGTCAATAACCCCAGTTGTGGCACCTGTCAATAACCCCCGTTGTGGCACCTGTCAATAACCCCCGTTGTGGCACCTGTCAATAACCCCCGTTGTGGCACCTGTCAATAACCCCCGTTGTGGCATCTGTCAATAACCCCCGTTGTGGCACCTGTCAATAACCTTCGTTGTGGCACCTGTCAATAACCCCCGTTGTGGCACCTGTCAATAACCCCCGTTGTGGCACCTGTCAACAACCCCCGTTGTGGCACCTGTCAACAACCCCCGTTGTGGCACCTGTTAATAACCCCAGTTGTATCACCTGTCAATAACCCCAGTTATGGCACCTGTCAATAACCCCCGTTGTGGCACCTGTCAATAACCCCAGTTATGGCACCTGTCAATAACCCCCGTTGTGGCACCTGTCAATAACCCCCGTTGTGGCACCTGTCAATAACCCCCGTTGTGGCACCTGTCAATAACCCCCGTTGTGGCACCTGTCAATAACCCCCGTTGTGGCACCTGTCAATAACCCCCGTTGTATCACCTGTCAATAACCCCCGTTGTGGCACCTGTCAACAACCCCCGTTGTGGCACCTGTCAACAACCCCCGTTGTGGCACCTGTCAATAACCCCCGTTGTGGCACCTGTCAATAACCCCCGTTGTGGCACCTGTCAATAACCCCCGTTGTATCACCTGTTCATAAAATTGTAATATGAAATAATATATACACCACAGAGCGAGAAATCAAGTGGAAATAAATGCATCAAGATCAGAGTTACCTGAATGTTCAGAGCAATTTGGAAAATTTGGGAAAGAGGTGGCGACCGCCGAAGAAAAAATATCGTGAGCAATAAATATCCCAGCAAGATGGATAGGCCAGCTGTTTGTTTAACTGGAACGGATACAAGGCTAGAGCCCTGTGAGAGGGTGGGGTGGGATGGGGCAGGTTGTGGGATGAGAGACGGGGTTAGGCTCGGAGGGGGGTGAGAGACTGACTGAAGAAGGGGGGAGGAACAGAGAGAGAAGTGGATAGTATATTTTCTTGGAAAAGTGGAGGGGTAGAGGGAGGCTAGGAGAGCAATCTACACGGTGGATATGTTCTATGGGAGGAGTGCATATTGTTAGGGGATAGGTATAGTGTTCGGGACTAACTTAGTGGTTAGGGGGATAGGTAATGGTCTGTAATAGTTATAGTGTTTACCTTCAGTATACTGTTCAGGAATAGTGTAGTGTTCGGGAAGAGTTGGTGTTCATGTATAGCATAGTGTTCACGAATAGCATGGTGTGCAGGTATAGCATAGTGTTCATGGATAGCATAGTGTTCCCGAATAGCATAGTGTGCAGGTATAGCATAGTGTTCATGGATAGCATAGTGTTCATGGATAGCATAGTGTGCAGGTATAGCATAGTGTTCATGGATAGCATAGTGTGCAGGTATAGCATAGTGTTCATGAATAGCATAGTGTGCAGGTATAGCATAGTGTTCATGGATAGCATAGTGTGCAGGTATAGCATAGTGTTCATGGATAGCATAGTGTTCAGGTATAGCATAGTGTTCATGGATAGCATAGTGTTCATGGATAGCATAGTGTTCAGGTATAGCATAGTGTTCATGGATAGCATAGTGTTCACGAATAGCATAGTGTGCAGGTATAGCATAGTGTTCATGGATAGCATAGTGTTCATGGATAGCATAGTGTTCAGGTATAGCATAGTGTTCATGGATAGCATAGTGTTCACGAATAGCATAGTGTGCAGGTATAGCATAGTGTGCAGGTATAGCATAGTGTTCATGGATAGCATAGTGTGCAGGTATAGCATAGTGTTCATGGATAGCATAGTGTGCAGGTATAGCATAGTGTTCATGGATAGCATAGTGTGCAGGTATAGCATAGTGTTCATGGATAGCAGTGTTCACGAATAGCATAGTGTGCAGGTATAGCACAGTGTTCATGGATAGCATAGTGTTCAAGGATAGCATAGTGTTCATGGATAGCACAGTGTTCATGGATAGCATAGTGTTCAAGGATAGCATAGTGTGCAGGTATAGAATAGTGTTCATGGATAGCATAGTGTTCAAGGATAGCATAGTGTGCAGGTATAGCACAGTGTTCATGGATAGCATAGTGTTCAAGGATAGCATAGTGTGCAGGTATAGAATAGTGTTCACGAATAGCATAGTGTTCACGAATAGCATAGTGTTCACGGATAGCATAGTGTTCACGGATAGCATAGTGTTCACGGATAGCATAGTGTTCACGGATAGCATAGTGTTCAAGGATAGCATAGAGTTCAAGGATAGCACAGTGTTCAAGGATATCATAGTGTTCATGGATAGCATAGTGTTCATGGATAGCATAGTGTTCAGGTATAACAGTGTTCAAGTACAGCATAGCGTTCAGGTACAGCATAGCGTTCAGGGACAGCATAGTGTTCAGGGACAGCATAGTGTTCAGGTAGAGCACAATGTTCAGGGACAGCATAGTGTTCAGGGACAGCAGTGTTCAGGGACAGCATAGTGTTCAGGTACAGCATAGTGTTCAGGGACAGCATAGTGTTCAGGGACAGCATAGTGTTCAGGGACAGCATAGTGTTCAGGGACAGCATAGTGTTCAGGGACAGCATAGTGTTCAGGGACAGCATAGTGTTCAGGGACAGCACAATGTTCAGGGACAGCATAGTGTTCAGGGACAGCATAGTGTTCAGGGACAGCATTGTGTTCAGGGACAGCATAGTGTTCAGGTAGAGCACAATGTTCAGGGACAGCATAGTGTTCAGGGACAGCATATAGTGTTCAGGGACAGCATATAGTGTTCAGGGACAGCATAGTGTTCAGGGACAGCATAGTGTTCAGGGACAGCACAGTGTTCACGGATAGCATAGTGTTCACGGATAGCATAGTGTTCACGGATAGCATAGAGTTCAAGGATAGCACAGTGTTCATGGATATCATAGTGTTCATGGATAGCATAGTGTTCATGGATAGCATAGTGTTCAGGTATAACAGTGTTCAAGTACAGCATAGCGTTCAGGTACAGCATAGCGTTCAGGGACAGCATAGTGTTCAGGGACAGCATAGTGTTCAGGTAGAGCAAATGTGTTCAAGGACAGCATAGTGTTCAGGGACAGCATAGCGTTCAGGTACAGCATAGTGTTCAGGGACAGCATAGCGTTCAGGGACAGCAGTGTTCAGGGACAGCATAGCGTTCAGGGACAGCATAGCGTTCAGGGACAGCATAGTGTTCAGGGACAGCATAGTGTTCAGGGACAGCATAGTGTTCAGGGACAGCATAGTGTTCAGGGACAGCACAATGTTCAGGGACAGCATAGTGTTCAGGGACAGCATAGTGTTCAGGGACAGCATTGTGTTCAGGGACAGCATAGTGTTCAGGTAGAGCACAATGTTCAGGGACAGCATAGTGTTCAGGGACAGCATAGTGTTCAGGTACAGCATAGTGTTCAGGGACAGCATATAGTGTTCAGGGACAGCATATAGTGTTCAGGGACAGCATAGTGTTCAGGGACAGCATAGTGTTCAGAGACAGCACAGTGTTCAGGTACAGCATAGTGTTCAGAGACAGCATAGTGTTCAGGGACAGCATAGTGTTCAGGTACAACATAGTGTTCAGGTACAGCATATAGTGTTCAGGGACAGCATAGTGTTCAGGGACAGCATAGTGTTCAGGGACAGCATAGTGTTCAGGGACAGCATATAGTGTTCAGGGACAGCATATAGTGTTCAGAGACAGCATAGTGTTCAGGGACAGCATAGTGTTCAGGTACAGCATAGTGTTCAGAGACAGCATAGTGTTCAGGGACAGCATATAGTGTTCAGGGACAGCATAGTGTTCAGGGACAGCATAGTGTTCAGGGACAGCATAGTGTTCAGGGACAGCATAGTGTTCAGGTACAGCATAGTGTTCAGGGACAGCATATAGTGTTCAGGGACAGCATAGTGTTCAGGTACAGCATAGTGTTCAGGGACAGCATATAGTGTTCAGGGACAGCATAGTGTTCAGAGACAGCATAGTGTTCAGGTACAGCATAGTGTTCAGGGACAGCATAGTGTTCAGGGACAGCATAGTGTTCAGGGACAGCATAGTGTTCAGGTACAGCATAGTGTTCAGGGACAGCATAGTGTTCAGGGACAGCATAGTGTTCAGAGACAGCATAGTGTTCAGGGACAGCACAGTGTTCAGGTACAGCATAGTGTTCAGAGACAGCATAGTGTTCAGGGACAGCATATAGTGTTCAGGGACAGCATAGTGTTCAGGGACAGCATAGTGTTCAGGGACAGCACAGTGTTCAGGGACAGCATAGTGTTCAGGGACAGCATAGTGTTCAGAGACAGCACAGTGTTCAGGGACAGCACAGTGTTCAAGTACAGCACAGTGTTCAAGTACAGCACAGTGTTCAGAGACAGCATAGTGTTCAGAGACAGCATAGTGTTCAGGGACAGCACAGTGTTCAAGTACAGCACAGTGTTCAAGTACAGTACAGTGTTCAGAGACAGCATAGTGTTCAGGGACAGCATGATGTTCAGGGACAGCATAGTGTTCAGGAACAGCATAGTGTTCAGGGACAGCATAGCGTTCAGGGACAGCATAGTGTTCAGGGACAGCATAGTGTTCAGGGACAGCATAGCGTTCAGGGACAGCACAGTGTTCAGGGACAGCATAGTGTTTGGGAAAAGACAAACGAACAGAAAATTAATCTTCGAGTGTAACTCTACGGTAGACACACTCCACGTTTCATTACCTTACTCAACAATGGCACATGTATTCACTGAAACTCTTATATGATGATGTAAAAACATCATATAATTGTCTCCTGTGACACACACGCACGCACACACACACACACATACACACGGGGGTTGCAGTCCGAAGGACCCGGGTTCGATTCCTGGCCGATGCTGAAGTAAATTAGCAAAGAATAATTTACCTAATGCACCTGTTCACCTGGCAGTAAATATGTACCTGTGAGTTAGACAGCTGCCACGGGCTTATTCCTGTGCATGTGTGTGTTAGAAACATACGTAGCTGACATAATAGAGGAAAAATAGATTTGTTAGAAAGGCGGGGTCCAAAAGCTAAATAGCTCGATTCTGCAGACACTAATAATAAATACAAATAGTAAATACATTCACATACACACACACACACACACACACACACACACACACACACACACACCTCATAGATGACTCTTAAAATCTTCTCCAAGTTGTCCCTCCTCCCCAAAGATGATCCCAAATGACCTCCCAGATCAACCAGGCTGTGACTCATACGACAGGCTGCGAGCAGCCGCGTCCAACAGCCTGGTTGATCAGTCCAGCAACCAGGAGGCATGGTCGACGACCGGGCCGCGGGGACGCTAAGCCCCGGAAGCACCTCAAGGTAACCTCAAGGCAAGGTAGATGACTTCCTAAATAACCGTTAAGGTGACCAAGATGACCTCTTATATGACCTCTAAGATGATCTCTAAGATGACCTCCCAGATGACCTCCCAGATGACCTTCAAGATGACCTTATGGATGCCTCGTGACCCGCCCTTGCTTCCCCAATCCATACATAACCGGTTTTTATCTTGACAGATGGCAGCAAGAGGTAAGGAAGGAGGGATGGAGGAAAGAGAGGGATGGAGGGATTAGGGAGGGAGGGATAGAAGGAGGAAGGGAGGCTATAGAGGGATGGAGAAAGGCAGGAAGAGAGGGAGATTATGCCTGATGGAAGGGGCAGTGGTTGTCTCCCCAGATCTAAAGTGACAGGTTCATGAGCTACTCGCTGACCGCCCCTTCCACCTTAACTTTCCTGTCTGACGGTCGCTGTGACCTCTCAGGCAGGTCAGGAGGTCGCCTTGTACCGGGGTTATGGGTCATGAGGTCAATTAGTGCTAGGGGGGGTAAAGAGGTCAAGTGGTGACCGGGCTAGGGGTCATATCGACTGGGAACCATGCGTGTCCATGGCCCATATAAGGTTAGGAGAAAGATATAAAGATATATTTTCTTCTTTTCCTCTCTCTCTCTCTCTCTCTCTCTCTCTCTCTCTCTCTCTCTCTCTCTCTCTCTCTCTCTCTCTCTCTCTCTCTCTCTCCCACTCCCTCTCCCTTCCCTCCACCCACCATACGTAGTGTCTGGAGCCACTTACTGACTGCAGTTTGTCTAAATCTGAAAAAAAAATTAACTCACTGATATCTGTGGGACTTATGACAGAGGGGACGAGGAGGAGGAGACTCCAGGTTGAAGGTAAGGTGATGGGTAATGGGGAAGATGGTAGTAGATGGAGGAAATGGAAGAGGGGTGAGTGAGAGGGGGAGAATGGGTGACTCAGGGCTCTTCGTTGGGTAAAGACGGTGGCTAATAGGTATAAATATACTGTATATTCACATCAGTTGAAATAAACATGGAGGAGTCCGTCTGGTCGTATGCTTTCTGGTCGTTGTCTCCAAGGTCGTCGTCTCCTGGTCGTCGTCTTCAAGTAGTCGTCGCCTCACTGACGCGTTCCCTTAATGCCTCCTCCCTTCCACCCAACAGGTGGGACTTGACGGGCATGTGTAACCTACAAGACCCACTGGTTTAAACCCGTAATTAGTGTGGCTGGCGGCCCTGTTATTCCTGCCCAATTGTGTGGAACGTATCCCTCTTTCAGCGGAAGCAGTCGTGTATGTTTTACACGCACGCGCGCGCGCGCACACACACACACACACACACACACACACACACACACACACACACACACACACACACACACACACAAGACACAATTTTCTGACACACACACACAAGACACAATTTTCTGACACACACACACAAGACACAATTTTCTGACACACACACACAAGACACAGTTTCTGACACAAAAGTGTGAAAAACACTCCGCTCTACCTACACGGAGACAACTCACTAACCCCCACCCCCTCCCAACA